TTCATATTGGTTCCTGCAGAGTTGGCTTAATTTCTATATAAAAGTGAATGATATTCAATCTACATGGCCCAAGCATCTAACAAATGCCATACTGTCAGAAACAAAAAACTAACTTCATATGGCAGACTTTATTTTTTTTTCTTCTCATTATAAGTACATCTAAATAACCTATTAGAAAGGAAAATAAGCACTATTTGTATCTAGGCACCATCCAAATTTTAGAGAAATTGGCCTCATTAAGGCACACTACTGACATCTTCCACCAGAATTGATGACTAAGGTAGTGCTGAATTCTTTGCGCTTTTCAAACTGTACTTAATAAATAAAGCTGTAACAACTATAAATAGCGGATTTTTTTTTTTTGGTGGGGCAGGGGGGAGGGGAGGGGGAAGGCAAGGGAAGGAGAAAGGGGGCTGGATTAAACCAGAAAGTCATTATCTGATTATAGAAAACAATAAATTTATTCAGAAAAGATTGAAGGAGATTATCACTGTACTGCGCTGAATAGAAACAGAAGTAGAAAAAGCAGCTTCTCCTCCAAAAACAAATGAAAGCAATATCCTAACTGGTTTGGGTTTTTTTTTGGCTCATCATTTCCCAAGTAGAATCGGCATTGTTCCTACTAACACGTTAGTTACTACAAACATTATCCTGAAGTGGCACAGAGTCCTGTATGGCTCTGATTTCTTATCATGTGCACTTAAGGTTACTTCCAAAATATAATGCAAATTCGCAGTGTTAAAAATAAAAATAAATGAAAGAGTTGCTTTCATGTCACCTCAAACTCCCTTACTCACTTCTGCCCCTCTCAATCCAGAATAATTTCAGAAGGATTTCAATCTATTGTAACAGAGCACAGGGAAGCAGCTTGCACTGAGCAGCAGAATGCAAAAGTGAGCTTTAAATACTGTTTCTACACTCCCTTTTCCATAGCATTTACATTATGGCTCCCATCCAAGTCTCTAGTTCTCTGATTTCAAACAGACAATTGCATAGCAAGAATACCTATAATCAACAACACAAATCTTATTAAAATGCAGTGAGGCACAAATATAGGCTTGCCTTTTCCTTTTAGATTCACCACAGCTCTTCAGATGTCTTAAATGTGCCATTAAAATGCCTCAGAGAAGCTGTCAGCACAGCTGATTTCACTTTAAGAAATGCTGTCAACATTAATTCCATTTTAGAAACACTCTCTCTTGATTGGTAAAATGATAGTCTTAATAACTTTCATTTCACATTTTAAAATATACTGTCAGATTTCCCTGGATTTTACAGACCTTCAACACTTTAAATAGCTTCCTTTCCCCTCCCCCCATTAGTCTTGGATTATTTTTCTGGCTTCAGTTGCCTACTACAGTAAAATCTCCCCATCATCCTATTCTGAATTCTCAATTTGAAGGAGTGACGAATCTTACTTTTCAGAAACACAGTAATTACTCCACTGATATGAAGTTTCTTGCGTGGGAAAGGCTGGGGACACAGATCACAATGTGGAAAGCAAAGACAGCTGAAAGAAATGTTATACCAGAACTGCTTGATCACAGGTTAGAAAGAGTTACAATTACACTAAGTCTGTCAGGATGATGATTTGTTGGTGTAAATGGATGCATTTCCCTATGAAAAAATTTGCCTAAGAGGCACTACAGCAAAATGTTCTAGAAATTGTCTTAAACTACCTCAGTTTCTCCAAAAGGATCTCCATGGAAATTTCCATTTAAACAGTCAGATGAGCATTTTTTAAATTTTATGTATGTTAAACACCACTTTCTTTTTCCAATCAATCTTTGCCTTTGAACAGGGATGTATCATTTTAGTGATACTGTGCCTTTCTCATAAAATCTTTGAAGTCCACCTATGATGTGCATATATATATATAGATACATAGTACTGAGCTGTTGCAGGGACCTGATCTCTGCTACAAGCAGAGCTATAAGTCATGTTTGTTGAAGCAGGCAATAAGGGGTTTTTCCTATAGCAAAGACCTCTGTAGAAAAGTAAATTATTTTCACTAATGTTATAGATGGTACTTCCAAAACCACTGGAATATTGAGAAAAATACTGAAAATTAATGCTGTTTGCAAGACTGTTTTTTTCCCATTTCCTCTCCAAAAATACCTGTGGCCATGAATTTACAATCACTTCGGAATGCTGGAATATAGAAGCAAGCTAGCTAGATCAGGCCACAGGGCTCTCTAGTTTAGTATCCTGCAAGTGGCGAAAAGCAGCTGGTTAGGAAATAACACAGAGCAAACCCACATGATTTTTCTCTAAGAATTTGTGGTATATTTTGACATATGTAGCATTAAATGTAAGGCTGACAAACAACTTTGAATCCAAAAGAACTAGGGGGATAAAGCATGTTAAGAATGTACAAAAATATTCATAATAGCAAAATTTCAGTTAGTTTTAGTAGTTAAGAGAAGCAAAGTGGACATAAATTAATTAGAAACTGATCTAAGACCAGTGAACACTTCTCATACAGATCAGTGAAACATCCGCCCTACTAAAACAGCTGTTGATCAGTTTTGATGTTGATCTAAATCAAAGGCCTGAGGCTGAAGGGCTCTGTGCATGGTTAGCATTGCCTGAACCACACAATGTAACGGCATAACTTTATTTGGAAATAAGATGGAAATTGGAAAACAGATGGCCTGATTCAAAGACAATCAGAAGTTCCAGTATGCATTCAACTGAGTAGTGGGATTTAAAGACTAGAAGAAAAAGAAGAGAGGGAAGGAGCTGAAAATAAATAAAAAATAACCACATTGTTTCTAGCTAAGCAGTAATAAAATCATTATGACTTATTGTACAGCTTTCTGAGATACTTAGTTGATTTTGTAGAAGGTTTACACTGGCAAGCCTAACTGCAACACAATATTCTAATGCTTCATCTAAAAAGTTCAAACAGTAATAGGGTGCTGCTACAGTTTCAGTTCATTTGGCAACAACGGTTTTTAAGAACCAGCATTAAAATCTTAACGGGAAGAAAAAACAAAAACAAAAACAAAAAACAAACAAGCAAATAAAACTCATGAGGCAGGGCTGGCTGGGGAAACATTTAAAGCATGATACAGAGTCTTGTTCCTAGCCCTGCATCCTGATAAGCCTTCAGGAAGGTCCTTTTCATTATCTCTGTCTCTGCTCCCTCTTCTCTGTGGGATACAAAAAACTTGTGTTCACTCAGACATTTCGCTTGCAAGTGTTTTTAGACAAGGATTCTCCTGTACTGTTTTGTCACTGCAGAACAAAGGGGGTCATTCTGAAAGCAGTCCTTGTGGCGTTGCTGCCATACAAGGACCAACAAAATGTTCATTTGGCTAGAACTGGAAGTTTATTCCAGCTGGCAAAAATACAGCTGCTATATCCTTTCTATGCCATGGATGGCCCTGAATACATTTAATTAATAGACTGCTTTGAGCCAAGCACGTAATTGGAATCTGGCATGGAGAGACATTATGAGAAATGTACTGATGTCAAACTAACCATATTAATACAAAATTATAAACGGATGTTGCTGATTTAGCTAGGAGATACATGAATAATAAAATCAATCTTAAAGGCTACTTGGTGATTAAAACAAGGGCTGTGTAAAGACAATAATGTAAACACAATTTTATTGCTCTCTTATCAAAAAATAACGTAATGACAGTGAGAATTACCTAGTGTTCATCAACAATGAAGTTGAAGAAAAGAACACATGATGCATAGTAACCTAGTGTGCTGCAAAATCTCTTTTGTTCTTGATAACAATAAGTATTAAGCTTAGAAAGATAGAGAAGTTGAGAAGAAAAGAGCCTGTGTTCCTGTAACCAGAGGGCACAGACCAACAAATGATTTGAGATAAGAATGGCTGTAGCCTTGTTAAGGTGACATGAATGAGATGAAGCCTAGGAACAGAGCAAATTCACCTTTGGCTTTACCTTGATGATCATAGTCTTCACATAAAAAATGAAAACGCTGGGGAACTATTACACATTAAAAACAAACTCACCTTGTCTGCCATTTAAAACATGTTAGATGACATAGTCATGTTTGATCCAAACCTTCCCCAGATTAATGACTTTTACCATTAAATATATTTTTAAATTACTTGTATTCATGCAAAGAAAAAGGATATTTTGGTTAATCAGGATATTACAAATATTGTACAAAGAAAATGCTGAAAATCCTCAGGCACCCAAGGAAGATGGCACAAACCTGAAGCTTTAACTGCAGCTCCCACATTGTTAAAAGTTCTGCTAACATCTCTCTAGTTGAGTATCACCCTGCCACTCAAAAATTAGGATGTATAAGCATCACTAGCTGCTGCATGAGTAAATTTTTGTTCTCTTTTCCTGTTCAAGAGGATAGTTTGCAGAAAAGAACCCCTATTATAAAAACTGAGAATTTTTATAGCATCTTTGAAATGTAGGAAAAAGACAAGGGGTTTCCTTCATCAGTAGAAGTGGAAAAGGGTTCAGCTGATTTAGTTGACAAGCTTAGCTGACACAGCAAAAAATTATACTTTCTGTTATGCATCTACTACCGTTTCTCCTATATTATTATTATCATTATTTATAATAATAATAATAAATTATTATTTATATAATAAAAATATAAACTTTATATAAATATATATGGAAGCAAGAAAACAAAAAAGGTATCTAAGTGGCACTTTGAAATTCTCTGTAATAATATATGTAACTTTCAATGGACTACATATTGCTCCTGGCTGCACAGATTATAAGTATATGTCAGACTGTGCTATTTCTTAAAAGAATTTAATTCAGAATATATACTATGCTGAATTTTAATGCCTTAAAAATACTGGTTATGTTCTTAACCAAAAGGGTTGAAGACAGCAAAATGATGTAGGAAAGCATTTCTTTTTCATTACTCTGCCATACATACAGATAATATATAGATTATAACATTCAGTGGAAACCCACAGCAGTTTAAATGCTATCTATCAAACTTCTACAGCTTGCTTAGTTAACAGAATTATTATCTTGGCTTACCCAGATCTGTAGCTTAATCCTTTTTTCATTTTTGAAAACTGTTTTTACTTTGAAATCGATCCCAACTGTGCTCACAAATGCAGAAGTGAAGGAATCATCAGCATATCGGAATAGAAAGGAGGTTTTCCCAACACTGCTGTTGCCAATGATGAGCAGTTTGAACATGTAATCAAAGTTCTGGTCAGATGTATCTTTCTGGCCATATCTGGAATCTTGAGCAGACGCCATCTGTAATTCAAAATAAAAAGAAATAACTTATTGTCTTTTGAGTCATATAAAACAAGAAAATTCTAGATTTTATTAGAATTTTTAGTAACAGGCATAGAGAACTAAGAAGGTCACAGAAGTTCAAGACACTTCTATAACTCTTGTATTCATTATAACAGTTGAAAAAGAGGACTTATCAAAGCTAAACATCACTATAATGAAAACAAAAAGATCCTTCTAGAAGTCCAGCTCTTGAATAATGGTTAAGACCTACTTTCAGAAAATGTAAGGAATGAAATAAATTGTGAAAATACAGACAAAGATGCTTCTCTTCACATTCACAAGAATGTGAAGATGACACAAGATGACAGGTAACTTATTGCAGAGGAGGTACAATTCCAAACGAAAACTTAGAATCATTCATAGGTGATATAATTCTAGAATAATTTATCTTACTGTAAATATTCTACCATCATTTCTAATGCCTACCACCTTTTTAATACATTTGCCATTAGTAGCTTTCCATGAAAAAGTGAGTTCAGTATATACCTCTCAAATAAGGTCTTGATATTTTTCAGTTCTCATATCTTGTACAGTTTTGGAATGGGAATAAATGACAGTTGATAATGTCTTCATATTTGCATCCTTAAAATAAGACTTCTAACTCATATAAAACACGAGATTACAAAAACTGAATAAACTGAATACTACTGAATATCAAATTCATTTTGCTTGGAGGCTTCAAAGATAATAGGTTTCATTATACATTTTACGCTTTATTTTCAGAAGGGTATCAGAGGTTAACTTGAAAACTCAGCCGCAATCTTACCTGTAACGATTAAAACGCAGTTGGCAAAACCAATAACTTAAAACTAAATGTTTTTCACTCATGCTAAGAAAAGTCTCAAGAATTTTTGGAACCTGGCAGTATTTTAAATTCTTGCATTTGGGCAATAAGGGTAATACATTTGCAGACCAATTTCAGACAGCAAGAGCAACAGCCTATTCTAATATAAAGGTACTCAAAAAGCAGCCTGTGTCAAAGCTTTCTAAATTAGACATCTCAGACTGCATTCAGGCAGTCTAAGAGGACAGCTGGAACTGAGACATTGCAGAAGGATGAAGGATGTACACTAACTCAGTGAAATTCTCTCAGAATTTCAATTACTGCATAAGTCTTCTGAGATAATTTTTTGTCTTCTAATACAAGTAACACTATGCTAGCTTCTCTGGGCATATGGGGAGTCATATAGAAGTGGGGACAAAATGTTATGAAGGAGACAATGGAAGCATCAAGCTTTCAATGGAAAATGCAGTGTAAGATTTATATTTCATAAATAATGCATTAGTGACTGTTTGATTTCAGACTTATCCTTTTTATTTGGTAATGATTAAAGTTCTTGACTAAATCTGGTCTCAGTTACCACATCTTTGCATCCTGAGTGTTTGCATTAGCTTTAATATTTATTCACTTCTTTCTGAAATGTGCAACATTTTAGAATGAAAAAATACAAATGAATATCACTAATATTTCACCTTTCATATTTCTACAGTGAAGTACAGAAACAAATCTTCTCCACCCTCATCACTCTCCCCTATTCTAAAACTATGTGGGGTATTTTGCTTGGAACATGTGCAAAAGAAAATTATATTGTGTTTATGCTAGTCTAATCTTAACAGGCTATCACATACTAAAGTGCTAATGTATTGCACAACTTACAACAAGAGGAAGTCAATAAAATCCTCCAAACCAAAGGCTGTGCAGTGGCTGGGCATGTCTGTGAGCAGCCCTTATGCTTTTGCAAACAGCCTGTTCTGCTGTTCTTCGGTCTCTCTTCCATAATTTAGCAGCTGAAACCATAAATTACCACTTCTAGAAAGAAGAAGCATTTTCTTTCTTGATTTTTTCTCCTAAGAAGACTTTCATGTAGCTTCTTCAGCTTGCCTCTTGACAAAGCCTGCTGGTCCCCGCCAGCCTTATATTCAGCTGGCTGGACCCCATGTGCACTACATTTAATCCTTAAGAATTTCAGTGCCTCACACTTCTTTAGAAGTTATGATTCAGTGAGCAGAGTAATCTAGAGGCCTAGTTTCTAATAATAGTGCTTATAATAGTTTCACTAAAGCTTGCACTTCATGTTGCTTTCTTAAGTAAGAACATTTCCTATTGACACTTTTAAACAAGGTTCCTCTAAATTAATATTTATGTGGATTACCCATGCAGTAGTTCTTTTAAATGTTCTCAACAATAATTAAAAAATAAAGCTCAGCAACTTCACTATGCCTTGAACTTATGGATTCATTACTTGCACTGCTGTATGCAGAACTAAGGGCAAGTTGAACAAAGAACCTCAGCAAACTTTTATTTCAGTATTTCTGCCTATTATATGTAGCAGAAAGTATAAGAGGAAGGCAAGGAAAAGGACTTATTTCTCCACTTTCCATCTAGGGAATCATGAGGAGGTTAGTGAATTACTGATAACAGTTCAGATTGTTTGGAGAGATTAACTTCAGCAAAGAGAAATAGTCTTCTGAGAGTATCACAAGTGAATGATCCCTTCCTATTTCCAAAACTCAGATGAGTTTTAGAATAGTACTGTTGCCTGCACCAGCCTGAAGAAACATCAAACTCAGCACTGCTGTCATTACTTCCCAAAGCTCATTCATTTCATAATAAGCTTCAAAGTGTGCATCAGACTCCCACTCTAAATGATACTGTAGAGGAGTCTCTATTTTTCTGCTAACTGGAAGAGAAACCTAGATGCTTGATCTTGCAGGGATTTGTGCATGCTCTTGCAGTGTTTTTGTCTCTTAAGTGCAGACTGTTTGTTTCAAACATGGACTACACTGCTGTAGAGAAAATAATACCGCACTTCACTTTTAACACGATTTGTCTCAACAATGGAGGCATTTAACAAAGAAATGTGAAAAATCTGATGTGGATTCCTCCTTTGGAAAAAATGCTGGAAATAAGTAGGAGAACAGCCATACTCGAGCAGATTAATTAAATACTACACATATTGACAGGAACCAGATAAACATGCCAAATTTGCTAGCTCTGTAATCTTCTGCTTCCAAGAAAACCAAAACTTTACCTTTATTTTGACAAAGCTCTCTTCTCAAACGATTAAATGGCTACATTAAACATGCAGCACATTCATCAAAACACACTGAATTTTCTCTCCAATTAAAATTTGTCTGTATTTAGTAACATTAAAAAGAAGATGCACAAAGCTGTTTCCATTAGCTCATTTCGTGCACCATTTTTTAACAGCATGAGTGCCTCTTTAGCTCCTCATAGTCACCAGGATTTCAGCAAAAAAAAGCAGCCTTGGGCTACCTCCTGAAGGACTCAAGACAGATCTGAGAGCCCAGACCTGGCCCACAGGGCCAAGAAAATAAATCTGAAAAGGTCTTCATGATAACACTAAAACACTTTGCTGTGTTTCTCTCTACGGCCTTAGAGGACCTTTTTCTTTGATAGAATTAATTCGAACAGCTTTCTCACTTAAGCAGGGCAACGTGCTTCCTGGCCTGTATATCACTTCAGTTTGAACATATACATCAACCATACTCTGGATGTCTATGCAGATTGAATTGCTCTTGGAAGAGAGAATGCAAAAAGAAAAGCTGTGATTGAAAATACTAAGGTTCACTCTTTTGTGTATGCCAGAACTACTTTCTATACTATTAAAAATAATATCAACAGGCATATTTTAAAGGAAAAGATTAAGAGTAAGCCTGGAGAAAATATTCTCTCTCTATCTACACTAAGAATAGATGGACACTGATTGAATAAACTATAGTTATTTCAAAGAGTAGGATTTATTTCTATATATTGTGTAGAAATACATACATTTATATTGCTTTCAAAAAAGACTAGCTATTTTAGCAAAAAGACAACTGTCTGCACTGGCAGCTTTTTGTGAGATGGATCCTCCTTTCTGTCAAATATTACTAATCAAGATACCCAGATGAAATGGAAACAATGAAATACGAGTGGAAAATTCAGTATTTGTAACTTCTGGGACTGAATGTAGGACGCACCACAAGTGAGCATCTTGAATCTGCAAATCAAAGGTCATCATCAGTGCAGTTACGATATTATCAAGATCCTTATATGGAAGAACATTTCATTTATTCTATGACTGTATGACCTACTCAGGAAGAAAAGAATGATTTTGTACATAAACTGCCAGATGAATAATCTGGGGACTGAGTTTTGTTTCAGACTTTTTCACCACTTCTGACTCTCATTTTCCTTTTTTTCCTCATGTCTTCAGCAAGATGCTTAACCTCTCTTACTTTAATGCTCTCTAAATAGTTCCATGACTATCCACAGATGCAGGCCACAGCCAATCCTCAAAAAGCTTTGCAGATCATTCTTGTGATCTCATTTTTAACAGAGTTAAGTGGACAATCATTTATTTGGAATTATGGATCACTGGCCATCTGCAGCATACAGCTTGTCTAAGTTAATTTGCAGCATCAGGAGAAGCATATCTACTTCAAGGTATTATGAAGTTGTATTTATGAATATTTGCAAGCATATTATTCAATCTGAAAAGTATTGTTAGAGATGTTTTATTATAGTAACAATAATGAAATGTTGGGGAACTTGAGGAGATACAGAGAGGAGAGAATCTAAAACAAGCTCAACTTTGTGTCAGGAGAAGTAGCATGAATATGGCCACAGTGCTGGCTACTATCCGGGACAGCAGCATGAAAGGCACAATAAAGAACAGTTCTGGAAAAGCTTTAGCACATGATTTCTGATGATCTGCTTATGGTGAACTAAGCGTGACTTCTCAGCCATTTTTCATTAACCTAATTTTCTCCTGTGAGTGAAATCTAAGTGTAAAACATACACAGATAGTAACCTTGAGTAATCATTAGGGAATGAAAACTACTCAGGCAGACATACAGTGGAACAGACACTGGGAATTGAGAAGAATTGAGTGTATCAGTAGACCTGTGTACCTTTGAGCTGCCTTAGAAAATATGGAACCAGCAAATAAGTGACTTCCAAATAGAAGTTGTGACAGAAAATGATTCCAAATGATTAACAAAAAGGTAATATGACTTGTTCTGTGGACTGAGAGGTTTGGCAGGCTCTTCTCCAGTGCTTCTAATCTTAACCAAGAATGACACATCTAATACTTTTACTCATCGACAGGAGATGTATTGCCATACCAAATTCTGTGTCTAAAAGATCTGATTTGTTTTTTTTTTTTTTTTTTTTTTTTTAATCATAATTGTACAACTCTTAAATATCTGCAAAGATTCTTTTTACTTGCTCTTGCAGTTTTACATTGTGTTTGCACGTGTCTGTTATAAACCATTATGTCTGAGCACAACCACTGTCAGTGACAACAGGATGTGAAGTGCTCTGAAAAAAAATGTTCTTATTTGTTCTTTGACAAAGCATCAGAAATGCTTACATTGTCTTTATAGATTGTTTCCCTTTCCATACTTATATTTCACCTCTATGGCACTAGTGATTTTTGAATTATTTGCCCAAGAGAGTGACAAAAGTAGCCACAAACTCTGATCCAGATCCAACTATCTATAGCAGACGACAATAGCTAATTTTTATGTTGGTTAACTCTTGCTCTGGAAGGACTGTTTGAGCTAACTTTCTGGTAAGTTTTGGCTCTTCTTGTCTAAAGAGAAATGTCACAAGCTTGAGATTCAAACAAGGAATTCATAAATATAGAAAAGACAGTCTTAATGCACAGGCCCTTTCTCTTATCCTCCTACAACATTTTAACTTCTTAGTTATCTAATTAATGTTTGATGGAAATGGAAAAAAAAGAAAAAACCACCAACAAAACCAGTGCTTACACATTCCTCTAACTTCTTTTTATCCTGATCAAAAGACACGTACTTAATCACTTTTTCTGTTGCACTATGGTTCATAGAGAAGTTAGCTCTAGAACGGACTGTTCCACAAAGCTATTGTGTACAAAGAAGCAACAGTATTTGTTTCATGGAAACCAGGCAATTAGTCCAGCCAGTTCTAAGCCACATTTGAACAAGAAAGCTGGAAAAATAAAAGATTATTAGGGAGAAAAGTCCACAATAGAATATTGTTTTACTTGAATCTTTAATAAGAATAGTAGGTAACTACACATGGAATGGTGTAAGTAGAAGAAAAAAATGTACAGAAACTACAAGGCAAAATCAAACTTTATCTGCCAGACTACATTTTCACACAATTACCATTTTGGAACATATCTGTTTAAAAACAGACATTGTTTGACCATCTCTCTAGCTTTGAAAAACTGGAACTTAAAGTGGTTTGTGGTTTTTTTTTTTTTTTTTTTTTTTTTTTTTAATATCTGTTCACTGTCTCTGTTTATGCTGAGACTATGCTATCTGTTAAACAATAATTCAATTTATACTGATTACTAGATATAAAAAATAAGCAGCAGTTCTCTGATATATGACAGTTAAATATGTATTCAAATATGGAGTTTATTTTCCTCAAATTTTATTTAAAATTGAACAATTTTGTTTTTTCAAATATTTATCAGTGCCAGTGACCCATCAAATGCCAAATGCAAGAATGACCAATCTGTTTTTTTCATCAGAAAAATCTGCTTTTAATGAAATGCTCTTCAAAGTCAATACATACTAAATATGACTTTGATATTTCAAAAGACACACGTAAATAGACGTCAAATTCCACATAAATATTCCTAAAGCATGCACATAGCATGCAGAACTAAGCAGTTTAAACAGCAGACTAATTGTTGCTGTTCTCCAATCAGAAAACCAAAAAACATTCTAAATGAAGACTGGTTTATTTGTACTGCACCTATTTGATTGAAATGTTTCAGCATATGACATCCAAGCAATTGCTCTGCAAAATGTTCATGAAATTATTGTCCTCTGTCAAAAGTCAAAGAAACCCAATGCCACTTCAGCGTAACTTAAGACTTCAGATTGCTTTTTGAGCATGCATATTAAAGCAAGTGCAGTTCAAGCTGGTACTACAGACAGCAGATACACAGCGTGAAAAATATTTGCTAACAGAGCTGCAGTTCATAACTTAAATCACCACTGACTGCAGAAGTGTTCTTTGCATTGTACAGAATCAGCAAGATTGATTGCTACCAGCTCACCAGAAATGTGACCAATCTTCTATTAGAAAGCAGTCATGTGTTTGAGTACACAGTCTAGGGGCCCACAGCTCCCACAAGAGATCATAAAAGGGGCTGTGAGAAATAATTAATATACATCTAACTGCACAGCACAAACTGTTTTCAAGCAACTACCAAGAAACTGCTTTAAACTGTGCGGCATTACTTGTGTCTGCATGCACATCATTTGTTTCTGACATACTAAGGGGCGCGATATCCTTTCATATGTGAAATGGTTGAAAAGAGGCCACCTCCTCACTGCTCCTAGCTCTAATGAGCTGACTATCCCCGCTGGAGATGGACGGCAGCTCCTCGCGCAAACAAACAGGTGGAGACAACTCGTCAACTTCCTGCACGCCCAGACATCAATTCCTCACACCATCCCCTGAAAACTTACCCTCGCCTACTCCCAGGGCCTGCGATCAGAGCTCAAAGGGCATTAACGGTACCTGCAGGGCACCGCTTTGTTCACCCTGAAGATCCGAACCCCACAAGTGGGATCGCAGCCTGGGGCACCGAGCTGTGCGCAAGACGGGGCACACCGAGCCCCACAGCCGGGGCTGCCCACCTGCCGGGCAGAGTCCCGACACGCCCGGGACCCTCGTCCATCGGGCCCCGCACTCGCCACGCCCGCCGAACCAGTGAGCCGCCGCCGCTTCTGCCGAGCGCCGTGCCGGGCAGCCGACTGCGAGCCCAGCCCGGCGGCTCCACAGTTCCTCGTTAGGTCTCCTCCCGCCCCGTCCTGCCACCTCCCGCCTCCCAGCCTCGCCGCACCCGCCGCTTCCTCGCCCCCTGCCCGGGCACCGACCTGCATGGGCGCTTCGTGCCTCATCGTCGGACGCGGCCGCCGCTCGTCCCGCTGTCGCTCGCCGCCCGCTGCCCACCCGGACTCTGCCGGCAAACCCGCGCCGCGATCAGCACCGGAGCTGTCCGCGCTCCGCCCACGGCACCGCCCCTCTCTCCCGTGCGCCCTAGGGACATGTAGTCCCCGCCGCGCGCCGCTCCTCTCCCTGGTGACGGCTGGGGACTACAGCTCCCGGCATGCTCCGCGCCCGACGTCCTGCCGCGGAGGCCGGCGCGAGGGGTGGCGGTGCAACCCGCGCGGTTCTTTGCGAATTAATAGCGGTGGGGGAGACCCCTCGGGCTGGGCCGGGAGCCCGAGGGGAGCCGGGCCCAAAGGAGAGGGCGAAGGGCGCCGGGCCGGGAGGCGGCGTCCTGCAGGGGTCGCCCCACTTCCGTGCAGCGGGGGGCTTCCCGCCGCCGCCCCGGCCCCTCCGTCTGCCGGGGCCCCGCTGCCAGCCCGGCCCGGCCGCGGTGCTCCGGCAGCGCGGGGTCCCGACCCGCCGATCACGCCGCGGCGCCGCGCTGTGGCCGCTCGCTCGCAGTGGTGCTGCACTGCTTTCCTGGCGGCGCGGTGCTGTGTGTACAGCAGCCCCTGGGCTCCCTCCCTGTAGCTCTCGGTCACATTCTGCTCTCCGTGTCCCTTCTCTGTGTCCTTGCTTTGCTCTTTGCTGGGCTTTGGAAAATGGTGGTGCTGCTGCACGGTAGAAGCAGCCCGGCTCTGAAATGGCGGCCCAGCGTTGGGTGGTGGCTTGTGCTACTGGCAGCAGTAATGGGGCTGTCAGATAGGAGTACCACGCCTTCAGATATAAAGCAGCCGTCAGATATAAAGCAGCTCACCTTCCACACGTGTTCTCAGGCTTTGTTTTCCAAGAAGTTGCTTTAAGCATATTTGTCAGCAATTTTCCCATAACTGCTTCTACTGAGTCATTAGTTATGATGGGCCGAGATTATACAGCTTCCAAGCAGGTAGAAAAATGTATGATTGGTTTTGGAACCAGATTTAAGATTTGACATCTTCCTTACTAAAGCGCAGAAAACAAAGCATTGCTGTGTTCAGAAAAAAATGAGCAGCTCTGGGGATGTTTGCCAGAGCTTGCACATTACCAGGAATAGCAGAAGGGAAGTGGTTTGTGGAAAAGAGTCTGTGCTCTGGAGTACCCCTTTCTGTATACATGGCTCATGTTCCATAAAGCACAACACCTATTGGAGCTATGACCTAGGCAAACTGTATGAAAGAGACATGAATATGGATTTAAGTGTCTACCAGAAGTAATTTCAAATTTGCTGTTTTTTACCGTCACTGAAAGGTATTTAAAACTGTATCAGTGTAACATGAAAACTGGTGTTGATTTTTATTCGAAAACATGATGTGTGCTTTCAGCTGTTTCTTCTTTCCTGAACAAAACTATCTTTGACATTACTCTTTCTGACATTATGGTCACACAGGCATCATGAATTTGCTCAATACTTACATTTAAAATCTTATCTCTGTGTTGAATGGTTGAATTTTTATGCCTGATATTTATTGTCTTTATCTAGTTGAAAAAGAAATAACTGAGTAACATTTCTCTCTGAAAACAGAACACACTATATACATTTGCAATTAGGGAAAAAGGAGAAACATTCCCTAAAATGTGTTGGTCTAGAGTTTTGTTTTTAAAAATTACAATACACAATCTTGAATATAATAAACTTTACATAAAACAGTTCTCATTTTGGAACGGTACTTTAAATATTAGCTGGATAGATTTTTGAAGCACTAGATTCAAGCATTCAGTGAAGCTTCAGACTATAAAATTTGGAAAACATACCCTGAATTTACTATTTTATTTTTATTATTCTGTATTTATTTATCTTCTACTTTGAAGATAGAAAAATACTGCAGATATGTATTAGAAATTATAAGACTTAAATGGTGCTGGGTTCCCAAATTTATCTCAAAACAATGATCTTCAAAATCTATTATTATATTGGCATTTATGTTAGCATTGAACTCCCTAAGGAATCTCACATCTAGAATTTCCATGCAGGGAACTATCACTAGAACATAAAGCAGGATTCCCTTTCTGATTGTTGTATGTCTTTCTTTAAACTATTAAATTACTATTTTTTAATGAAAACTAATAACACTAAGGCAAGCGGCATCTCTGCATAAACAATACTCTTCTTATTCCTCGTTTAATTTTTAAAGGCATAAAAATTTAAATAATGCTGAAATACTCCTTCAGGTGTTTGCAGAGATGTTACTGCCCTTTCCCCCTAGCCCCCATCCCCTCCTCCAATCCCCCCTGCTATATTCTAGCAGCACCTGTGTGCTTTTCATTTTGTCTTCTTTTTCAGAGACTTTTGAAGATGGCAAAGATGGGAAGGAAATGGACCAGAATTATATAATTTCATGCTAGACACAACTCACATTTCTCCTCTATCCCAGTCCAATTACATTCTCTGACAGTACTTCACAAAGCACAGTTTTTATGGGTCTAGAGTTTCTGCTGATTACGAAGCACAGAATTGTAGAATATCCCCAGTTGGAAGGGACCCACAGGTACCCCTGGGCCCAAATCCAGGCTCCACACAGCTCCACCCAAAATCCAAACGCCACGTAGGAGAGCGCCATCCAAACGCTCCTTGAACTCCGGCAGCTCAGGGTCCGACCACCCTCTGGTGCAGACCCTGTCCCCACCCCCCAGCCGCCCCTCCCCTGGCACAGCTCCATGCCGTGCCCTGGGCCCTGTCGCTGTCACACACAGCACGGCTCAGCGCTGCCCTCCGCTCCCTGTCAGGAGCTGCAGCTGCCATCAGGCCTCCTCGCAGCTCCTCTGCTCTGGGCTGAACAAACCCGGGAGACTCAGCCACTCCTCACACGCCTTGTCCTCTAGATCCTTCACCAGCTTTGTAGCTCTCCTTTGGACACTCTGTCACTGCTTTATGTACTCCTTATATTGTGGCACCCAAACCTGCCTGCTGGGCCTGGGGCACCCCAGGGTACGGTTGGCCCTTTGCACTGCCATGGCACACTGCTGCCTCATGTTCAGTTTGCCACCAACCAGTGCCCGCAGATCCCTTCCTATCGGGCTGCTCTCCAGCCTCTCATTCCCAAGAACACACAGGTATCTGGAGTTACTCTGTCAACACTGTAGAATTCAGCACTTGCTCTTGTTCAGTCACAACATGTGAATTAAGTTTGGAACACAGTTAAAGCTTAAAGCTCTGCTTTGTACATAATTACTATATATCAGCTGTTTTCACAAAATGCTAACATATGACAGGCTCATTTTAGGTAAATATCTAATTATTTTAACCAGAAGTAGTACTAATCTAAGAAAATACTACAGTAACAGCCATGAACATCAATCAGGTAAGGTTTTCAATTACCACTTTGATTGTGCTACCTCTTTTTCATTTGCTAACACAAGCATGAATGTTGTGGTTTTTTTTCCATACCAAATACTATGTTGCAAAATATACAGAAAAAGCTATTATTTAGTGATTTGGAATACAGGAAATAGGAGAAAAATTCATATTCTTTTAGTGATGGCAAACAGCTGTACAAGTAACATAACTCACTGCCAAAGCTAACCCAGAATTAGCCTTCTGTCTATGAGTTAGCTAATAAAATGTCTGTCCTGTCTTGATGTAGAAGAGTGTGGTTTCAGTATATGTTTTTGTAGCACAAATTTTATTTTGCCTAAACCATAAATTTTATAGCATATAAAAAATAATCAGTAAATTTCAGGACTGCATAAATACCAGACATCTTGAGTTAGCAATGGCATCAAGAGACATCTGGTTTGTATCCAACTGAGTGATTCTGGATGAGTGAATTTTGGAATGACAGACATGTTGTAAACAAAGCTGTTTCCATTTTTTGCTAGAGGTGTATGTAATTAGAAGAAAATACAAATGCAATTCAACTTTTACATCACAAGTTCAATGCATGTATTGGGAGCAAATATCTTCTGTGATTTGAAACTTGAAGTATAGACTATGCCATAAAATTAATAAGTATGATTCAAATGTTGAGGAAATCTGTGCTAAGCAAGAAAGAAATACGGCATGAAAAGTTCATTAGTGATTGTTGTTCCTTTCTGATAATTTTTAGATTGAAATACAAATTCTTTAATTTGTAATTAAATTAAACAGATATTCCTGCTAGGTCTTAGGTACAAGATGTTAGGTACAAGATGCCAGCAATTTTCAAATATCTATAGATTTTGACAATGTTTTTCTCTATTCTCTTCCTTAATGTCAAATATCTTTCTTTTTTTCTCTGACCTTTTAGAACACAGTATTTCTTCTACTCCTGCATACCGTTTGGCTTATTCTGGGACTGGAATTTGGATGCAGAGAAAAGAAATATAAAAAGAGAGACATGGGTCTTTCACAAAGCAATAAATGTCATTCACTCTGGCTCTGTCTGTCAGGTTTGGAGATTTGGCTTACACTTGCAAAATGTAAATGTTAAGACATGCCTTCCTTTGAATTTTTTTTTTTT